AAAAAAAAAAAAAAAAAGAAAAAATGTCAAGAAACAATAACGCAATAACGTTGGATCGTCAGGTTGTTTCAGAAATTCCTACGGGAATTCGCTCGGCGAACACGACGAGTCACACGCGCAAGACTCTCTTTTTCCAGCCTTACGTTTAATTTGATTAATTCGCCGGCCGGACGCCGGTCTGAATCGCGATAAATTTCGCGCGTAAATCGAATGCAAATTGCAAATAAATTACACCCCATCGTATATCCATCGTTTGACTGGCATGCAACTTCGGTGAAACAATTTCACCTCTGGGCTTCGCATCGTTCCGTGCTTTCTCTCTTTCTCCGTCTCTCGGTCTCTCGCGCGCGTCTGTCTCGCACACAACCGTTTCTCTCGCCGCCCCCTGGCTCTCGCTCTCGCTCTCTCGCATCGTCAGGGTCTCGCGTATCAATCAACTAATTGCTCTATGAGCCAATTATATCGTTATTTAATTAATTACAAACGCGCAATTGCCGCTGCTGCGCGCCACCGCCCGACGCTTCGGGGCTTCTCTCCACCCTCTCCGGTTGGTTCCTGCTCCATGCCACGTTAATTACAACTCCGCTCCTCGATTTCTCAATTGCCGTTACCGTTACCACTGTCTTTCCACCACCAGCGGCCTGTTGTGTTATATCCAGCAGGCGCTGTTCGTGATTCGCAGACACCGCAAAGAAGAGAGTCTGTCTGATTGTGAGAGAGCGGCGCCCCTCTTCGGAAATTATTTCAAAATCTCTTGAAATTCTCGCTTGGCCATCTAGGAAATGGGTGGCACGAGTCGGTGCTTCCGTAGCAGTTTTAACTCTGTTCTATTTGGAGTACAATTGCGGTGAACACAAGTTTCTCAGGAGAAATGGGAAAATTCGTCCAATATCAAATTTTTTGTGAAATCTGGATTTCTCAAGCTCGAGAGAGACATTTTCCAGAAAATTCAGCCGTTTAAATCTGTAACTTTATTTTCGAGTTGTATAAATTTATCCAATTCGGGCTGAAAAGTTTCCTCTACTTTTTTAGTAACTATTTGTAAGAAGAAATTTTCCTTATAGTAGGCAAGTCGTATCTTTCTTCGATTGACACTGTAAAAATTCTTCTCAATAATGATGCACGTTGAAACAATCAACATTTCTCATTGTCCTACGAATTTTCAAACTTGCATCGTGAGAAAATACAGATCATAGTTATAATATATTAGTTGTCAACATTAATATTATAATGATAATAATATAGTACGAATACTTTCGTGACTCGCTGTGTTTTTCGATATTTACAACATTTTCTGTAAAACTTCTTCAATTCTTAATTCTTTCGCGTATGAACACCCTGTTAACCCTTCCTTTGTTATTCTCGATTCTCCTCGCGTGCCGCGTTTCGATGTAAATTTAAACGCAGCGCCATTTCCACCGTTACGTCTCGCATAGCAATCGCGGGAAATTATCAAGGAACAATAATGAGAGATAAAGGAAAGCTCGTTACGTGGTTTACATGGATTTTTCAAAATGATATGCCTGTTGTATGCTGTGAGAATTCTTTCGTGCTGATAACTGCTCGACAAAGAGAGAAAGAGAGAGAGAGAGAGAGAGAGAGAGATGAAGAAAAAAAGTTTTCTAGTTGAACATCTGCACTTGGCGATCGATGTTTTATTGCTTATTGTTGAGTCTGTTATTAGGAAGTGGTAGCATCCTCACGTCGAGCAGAGTTGTAAACGTAAGCGTGTAATTATCGACGCGAAGGTGGTGTACTCTGGCCACATCGTCCTGTTCAATTTCAAATCGTCGCTGTCGATCTTGCGAAACTTATCAATAAGATTACAACGAGTCTAAGAAATCGTGAATTTCAATTGGCACGGAATTTTCGAATTAATTGAACTTTCGTCCACAGCCGAGTTCAATTATTCGTCAGCTTTCGTTTTATGAATGAAAAATAAATAGCTGGTGGCGAAAATTACCAACACCCCTCGTTCGCGTAATTCAGAAATGTAAAAACGCGCACGGAATGCATACAATTCGTGAAGACGTAGAAACAGGGAGTACTCGCTATAATTTCTATCGAAGTTTTATCCACCATCCGAATTCTACTAATCGGAGCTCTTTCTTCTCTTTCGGAGTTGTTACATTTTATCCTCCGACGTGACATCGACGGGTCGATGGAGAAGTAGGTTTGTGCAACGAGTGAAAAGGAAAAGGACTCGCTGGTCTGGAATTAAAGCGTGTACCACCCAGTGACGCCCTGGACCACCTAGGGGTCGACAGGGGCGTTGGTTCGAGGCGTCCTTGATACGCCCCTGCGCGTGCTGCAAGAACTTCCCCGGAGCTGCACAACACACGCGTTATTCACTCATGGACGAAGATTGCTGCCCGGTTTCCTCCACCGTGGCACATGTACCAGCGAAAATCGGAATTATGCTTCGCAGGGGCGAGAGGGCGTGCCCCGCTGCACTGTGCCCTCCCGAAATCCAACGCGGACCGAACCGAGAAGAAGCGTGTCACCGTGCGACACGCGTGTGCCCCACCGTTCTGTGTCCTTCCTTTAGTTGCGATCTAATAAGCTGGGGTTGTCCCAGTCATCTGGCGGCGAGCATCCCAAAATTTCCAATTCCGAATAGTTCAATTTATCGCGGAGACAGACATTTCAAAGGCTTTGAGGAATTTTCTTTAAGTGATTTATAAAGTAGTATTTTATCCTCGACTTTATCATCATATTTTACATAGCATCTTTCTCTTATTTTCTCTATCTTTTTATCTGTTGCACAATTGTGTTGGATCATGATGTATAGCAGACTTTTAATACGTTTTTTTATGAAAGTAGAATTTTATTCGATAATGTATAAATGTGAATATCTATTTTAATCTAATGAATTAAGACGAGATTCAACCGAGAATAGAGTTATTCTTCTAACCTTATCTCGCACAAATGTCAATTTGCAGTCTATCAAATCTACTTCTACTTTGAGTGATAGGTACTAAAATGGAACAGAAGTTGTGCCCTCTCTACCAGCTGACATTTTCTATTCCAGATGACGAAGCGCGTCTTTCACAGAGAATATAACAAGGTGACCGGTATCTCCAACATCTGGAGGATCGATCCTTCGCAATCTGTCGAGAAATCGAGACGCGCCATGTGTTAACGTGGCGTCGTCTGTTCTTTAACTCTTTGACTGCTCGCTAGAAGATGGATTTGTCCTTTTAACGTTTCTTCGTCACGATACGATAATTTGCAGTGTGCAATGTGACACAACAATAATATAATACGTTACATTACTTAGTACATCATTTACAATATATCGCGAATAACATTGCAATAATCTCTGGTCAGTGTACTCTCTGCCACAGGGAGAATTCGAGTGATTTCTATCTTCATTTCGCGAGCATGCAGCAAACAAACGACGTTTGCACAACGAGTAGAGAGAATTCGATCGATTTCGGAAACCGCTGTGTACAGTTGGAGATGAATTTCAGCTCGCCGACAAAAGCAAAGGAGTGGTAATAAGGGTAGAGTAGGCGGAGTTTCATCCAGCAAGGATACGCGAACGATTTTTCCTTTGTTCTACCGACATCCGTTCGCTTGGAGAAGCTCGTGCTCCAAAAAAGAAAAAAAAGAAACGAGCCGTTTCCAACTGCAATATTTCTCCGATTCGTTAAGCGCCGTAACGAATCGTTTAATCTCTGCCAGATCTTGAGCATCGCTGCACACGAAAACAAATATCCGAAGGCGGCAGTTCGTTGATCAAGACAATCAGTGTTTAATCATCGTCACAATTACTTTCGTTTGTGTTGGAACATTGAAATACAGGTGTCTCAGATTAACTTTTGTTATCCTCGTCGTGACGGGATGCTGTTATTCGAACTTCGTATGTGTTTTGCGTAAGAGTCCTTCAAGAGGTCTGATTTAGAATACTCGTGGCTTAAATTAGATCATAGACCATTGAGAAATACTTTTTTGCAATCGTGTTGTGTCGATTCGATTTGTTGGACTCACGTATCAATTATACAATAAAATCATCGATAATAATTAAGTGTTTCAATGGACGTAGGGAATTTGCTGCTTCGTCCAGTCGATGATTTCCAATGTATACGTTTCATCTTACTCTGTCGAAGCGTGGTGGCGTATGCAACGTCTGGAAATTTGCATGCTGGAAAACAAAG